GATAAAGAGAGTTCCTGTCTGCAGGTTTATTCTCCAAATAGCTGCCAATACCCAGGACTGGGCAAGGCCAAAGCTGGGAGCCAGTAACTCAATCCAGGTCTCCCACAGGCCTTGACAGACAGTTATTTGCACCAACTCCACTGCTTCCCGAGTCTACATTAGCAGGAAGCTGGAGTTGGGAGCCAAAGCCAGGAATTAAACTCAGGTACTTCCATATGGGACACATCAGGCAAATTAACTGCTAGGCTAAATGCCCACCCTATTTGATTTTTCCACAAACTTTTTGAAGCACCCTCCTATAACATCTCTATGAGCTTTCCACATAAGTCATAGATATGAGCACATTTTAAATGTTAATAAAAGAATGGATGAAGTCCTAAGTATGAACGGCAGAAATATTCTTTTTTACAGTTGTGCTTTTACTAGAACATGAAGATTCTAAGAAACATTAATAGAAACTGGTATTAATAGTTTGATTGGCCTCAAATTCATATAAACCTGTAACTCAAAAAGACATAACATATTTGACTTATTTATTGCCACCTTCAAATCCATGTGATTTATCATCACAGCAGACAAAAATGAGCCTTTGAGGGTTTTCAATCACTGTCAACTCAGACCCAAAGGGAAGAACTATGTCTCTAAATGAATGACAAAATAAAAATACATAATATTGCTAAAGCTTAGCAAAATGAAGTTTAATAAATACAGTTTGGGGAGGTAACTTCATAGCATTAAATCTAATTTCGTATTCCATCCTGAGTGTAATTTTAATTTGAAAGGTGCTCAGAAATTTTTTGTGAAGAGTAGTTTAATTCTGCTATGGATGAAACCTGTGACCCCGCCAGCAGGGCGGAACCAGGTCCCTAGGAGCGCCGTTCACGTCTCTGCCTCGCACCTGCGCTGGTTGGGGAAGCTGCTGGGTCCCACACCAGGCTTGCTGTGGCCACGGAGCAGCCGGCCCCCAGCCAGGACTGGCGGGGAGACCGGTCTGGGCCAGGGCAAATGGTGAATGCCTCCGGGGGAGCAAAGGAGCCAGAGCTTTGTTTTCCTGGGATCGGGTTTGGGACTTTTATTCTGCCTGAACATTTCCACCACTTCCCTTACAAGAGCCTCTGTCTTGAAGCACAGGAGCGAAGCAAAATGCCTAATGAAGCGTGCCTGAGGAGGGGGCGTGCAAGGGCCTTGGGGGCAAGAGCTGGAGCGAGGGGGAGAACAGAGAAGGGTCAGGTTACCGGTTCGCACGCCTTCACAAAACCACTGAAAACAGGAGCTGGGGACGCCAAATTCTGGGACCCAAGCGAGGCCCCCAAAGCTCCTTCGGGCCTCTGGGAGTTGGGCGTAAGCAGCAGAAGGATGTGCGGCACTCACTTTCAGGGTTTCCGGTTTCATTCAAGCCCTTGCGCCAGGGCAGGTCAGGAAATCGCGAGTGGGCACAGTCACGCTCCTGGCCTCCGGAGACTCGGCCAGTCCTCTCTTGATTTCTCAGCGTTGGGTTCCCTCCGGCCTCGGATCCTTCCTCACCACTCACGGATCGGAACCTGGGCGCAGACATGGCTTCTGGCCCTAAAGTCCCTAGCAGGTGCGCGAGGGCGCCAGCGGAATCCCTATTCCAATCCCCAGCCCCAAGCACACGTCGCCGGCCCCTGCTGCTCTATCGTTGGACTCCAAGTCGGGCGCTGAGAGCTTTCCAAATCGCGCGCTTCCCCGCCTCCAGGGAGCGGTGGGCTCTCCTCCAGAATCCGATTCTGCTCCCAGCCCCAACTCTTAAGATAAAAGCAACGTGCCGGGGAGCGGGGGAGGGGCGCATCTGAACTAGAAGAATGCGATTTCTAGCAGAACGACCCCATTCCCCAGGAAAAGGTAACGAGGGGAAGCGACATAGTGTGAACTTACTCGGAAATGCAAACCGAGCTGACTCCCTGGCGCATACAAACGCCTGATAGACAAATCAGCCAACGCGCTCGGCGGCTTCCCAGAAAGGGCCTCATGAATGAGAATGGGTTGCTAGGTTTCCTCCCTCCCTTTTCACGAGCTCTTCCCACAAGATTTCCACCACTGAAGGAAAACACGCCAGGCCTGCCGTCTGCGCGGCCAGGGAACCGCGCCAGGCCCACGAAGCAGCCCGGGCCGCGCCCACCTTCAGGACCCTGGAGAGCGGCCGCGGCGCCCCTGGGACCCGCGCCCGCCTCCCCCACCCTGTCACTTTCATTCTCTGCTTCCCGCCTCCACCTTCATTTTTCTTGGCAACTACCACTCCTGTTTTTCACAGACAGATTAAATTGTTTTGCTTGAGGGAGGTGTATTGGATTGGCTAAATTATGTTCCGGTTTGTTACCACACTAAACGTTGGCTCACCAGGAAGCCAGAGAGCATCTGAAAGGTGACAACTTGAAAGAGGCAGGTGGCCTTCCACAGCCTCAGAGTTCAATTCCTTCACTTTGTAAGTGAAACAGATGAACTCAATGAACAGAGTCCCCAAGTTAGACGTCAAGATAGTGGTGAGGCTGAGTCTAGAACCCTGAACTCCTGATTTCCAAACTAATGGTTCCCAAGAGTCATCTTTTCCTTTCCAAGAGGAAAAACAAAAAACAAACAAACAAACAAAAGAACAACAACAAAAAAAACTTTGCCCTTCCCCACCATTGCTTAGGTCTCCGAAGTAACAATGAGAAGACGAAAGTATCTATGTTCCCTACAATAAGTACATTTGGAGTGGGGGAACGGGCTGTAATAACAACCCCAACATTGAGTCTGGGTGTCCTCATTCCACCCAGCACCTGCAAAGCCAAGCGGGGCAGTCCTTTTCTCCATCCCAGGGTCTGGGGTTTCCACAGCCACTCTTACCCACCACCCAAGTCTTCCCTAAACAACTATCCCGAGGGAACCGATACCCAAGTTCAGTTCTGTGCCTCTGGCAGACCTGGAGGCTCTCCAAGAAGGGGGAAGAGATGGAGGAACTGGGGATCAGAAGAGCAAGGGAAAAGAGCAAGAGTTACAAAATGAACTGAGATTCTCATACAGTATAAAGACCCAAGAGACGTCAACTCAACCCCTTCCATTCGCTGCATTTCACAGTTAACGTGCTAACGAATCCCCTGGGAATACAACATGGCGCATTGGATATAGTCAGTTGGGATGGGGCCTGAGATTTTGCATTTCTGCGAACCACACTTTAAGTAATAGAGAGCCACAGAAAGCGGGGTGGGGGGGGGGGCGAAGAGAAAAGGAGGAGAGCAGGTAACTGTGGCCTGCCCTTTTGCTCCCAACCGACTTTTGTCTTGCACCCTAAAAGCAACGCCTCAAAATGCTGCTGCAAGCGGCAGGACACGTCAGTAACGGTGTGCTGGTTTTTTCTCTCTCTCCCGCCCTGGCCCCTGCCCTTCTCGGCCCTGCACAGCTCCCAGGCTCGCCCGCTGCCCCGAAGCTGCTCAGTTTCCTCTCTAGCCCGCTCTCCAACCTCACGCGGGTCTTCTCTCACCTTCTTCGGCGACCCCCTCCTGAGGCTCCCTGTCGGCGCCCGGACTTCTCTCCCCTGCTTCCCGCCCTGCGGGCTGCCGGACCCTCTCGGGGACACGAGGAGCTGCCCGGCCGCCTCGCGCTCCTGCTTGGGGCTGCGCTGGCAATGCCCGGCCGCCCCCCAGAGGGTGGCCCACGGAAGCTGGCCCGTCGGGTCGCCGAGTCCGGGAGACAGGACGCCAGCGCCGGGCAGAGTTCGACCATGCCCGTGAGTACCGTGGTCTCCACCACTCCCCGCCTCGGCCCCACGTGGACGCCGGCTTCTGAGGCCCCTTCCTCACCCCCAGACCCACTCCACCGGGGCCCACGGGGAGGCTGGGAAGGTTGGGACGTGCAGGGCAAGCTGGAGGAACGGGCGTGGGGAGCCCCGGACACCCCGGAAGGCACCTAGGCTACTTTCTACTGGGCCACTTCCTTTCCAGGGCCCTTGGAAGCTGGAGGGGGCGGCAGCCCCTCCCAAGGCCCCGTTCCAGGCTCCCAGTGCGTCGCTCTCCGCCCCCTCCGCCGAGCCGCCCCCAGGCGCGCCTCCGCCCGCCCCTTGCGCTCGCGCTCCCACCCCTGCCCCCTCAGCAGGCGGTGGAGGAAATGACGTGATGTTATTTTTTGTGTCAGGTCAGCTTCCAGCTTCAGTTTAGCCCTAGGAGCCCGGGCGCACGGACCCGAGTGGCCCAGCCAATTCCCAGTGGGACCCTAGGAGCTCTGTTACCGCAGAAATGGGCGGCAGGGGTCCTCTTCCCCTCTCTGATCCTCCCTTCTCCCTGGAGGACCGTGGAGACCTGGGAGAAAGGGGGAAACAGAGGGCCTCAGCAGGATCCTGATCTAGGGTCATAGCTCCCTCCACTCCATCCCACCTTCCCACGCGGTCACCAGGTGGGGCCTCCGGGCTCCGGCTGTCCCGGGCAAGGCGAGGACCCCCTTTCAGTGCAGAAGATGTGGAGGCGGAGGCTGCAAGGGGTTGTGTAGAGGAGCAGAGCGCAGAGAAGTGCTCGGAGCCTGAGGCGGGGAGGGGGCTGCCCTGTAGAGGCGGCCAGGTGCCCGGGCACAACTCTCCGGGGACCGAGCACCCCCTCCCCTCGCGGTGCCCCACGCGCTCCTCCCTCCGCCTCATTTCATTCACAAGGTCCCAAGCACGCAGTCCCGCACACACGGGTCTCTCGCTTGGCCCTCGCACGCCGAGGCGAGGGCAAAAGAGACCAGGCTGTGCCGAGCCCTCAACTCCCGTCCCCGCTTTGCACCCACACTCTCTGCAGCGCCTGATCTGGGTCTGGAGGACGGGGCTGCGGCCCAAGAGCGAGTCGCGCCCCTACGTGGGGCCTCGGGGGTGTTCCCCGGCCCCCGCTGCCCGGGAGTGCGTCGCCTCCGCCTCCGCCGCCGCCGCGGGAGGAGGCGAGCCCGGGGATTGCCTGGCCCGGGGAGGAGGCGTGAGGGGGCGGAGAGGAGGCAGAGCAGGGGGAGGAAGCGAGAGGGAGGAGAGGGCGAACGCAGAGACCGTGAGCTGCAGGAAGGGGAGAGCCGCGGAGAGCCGTCGCCGGCGTAGTAAGGACAGCACTGGGTATTGTAATAAAAATAAGGCACTCGCGGGACGCATGCGCACGGCCAACGGAGGCGAGCCGGCCCGAGCGGCTCCTCAGGCTGATGGGGTGGACGGCGGGACCGTGAGTACCCCACTTCCTCCACACTCCCTTCTTCACCCCCCCAGACTCGCCCTGCGGCCTCCGGCTGCGAAGCGGCAGAGGCCGGGCGGGGCGCGAGCGTTCGGCGGGACCTGGGCTCTGGTGGCCGCGGCGGTGGGAGCGGGTGCGGGTCGCCTGCCTCTTCCAGGGGTCCAGCCCCCTCTGTTAGCCAACGTCTGTTGGCAGAGGCAGGAGGTTGCAGATGTCTCTGTGTCTGAAACGGGGTGCGAGCGCTCAGGATCAGTTTATAACCAGTTCCCCCAGGGATCCGCGCGATCCTGTCCCCTGACACCCTGGTTGTGGTCGGGTGGAGGACGCGGGAATGCAGACTTCAAAGTGTAAAATGCACACTGACCACCGAAACGCGTTTGGGAAACTCCAGGCGGGTGGCGAAGTCGCAGTTCTCATCCGATGGGCAGAAGGAGCTGGAGGGGAGCCGGCGCCCAGGGCGGGCAGTTTGAGGTGGGAAGGGAGAGGAGGCAGTCCTGGCTTTGTCGTGCCCGCGCGGACCCTGGAGGGGCCGACTCCGAGCCTCTCTTTACGTGCGTGAAAACCGAAGAGGCAGACTCGCCGCCAGCGGGTGCAGGAGCCGCCGGGATTTCTCTTCCGCGCTCCGGTGCCGCGCTTGGGAAGTTAGAACGAGTCCGGGCTGTAGAGACTCTAGATGGCTGGGAGTGGAGAGGCGGGCTGCTGCGGGACTGAGGTGGCGACCAGGGGACCGACGGCGTGCGCCGCAGCCCTGCTGGGGTTGCGGGTGTGGGAGAGAGGGGGCAAGCGTGGGGAGCGCGAGTCTGTGCGCCGCGATCTTCCCCGCGACACCCACCCGCCTGTGGGAGGGGCCTTGGGAGAGGCGGCGCGCCGGGACGCGGGTGGGTGGTGAGCTTCCCGCACTTGTGGGTTTCCAAGGAAAACCCGAACGAGCAGCCAGGGCCAGCGAGAGACCTCAGCCGCAGGCGGAATGCGGCGGAGACTCGTTGACTCTCGGACTCTGGCGGAGACCAGGGGCTCTTTGTCGACCCCCACTCCACGCCCCCTCCCCTCCAGTCCTCTGGCTCCCGCTCCCCCCTTGTCGCACGCCTAGCCAGGGCACCACTGCGAGCGACTCCTTCTCACTCATTGGCTGGCAGAAGCGGCCGCCCGCCCCCGGGGGCTCCATGCAGCACCCCCCTCCCCGAGTGTGGGAAACAGGGAACTCCAGCCTAGATCCTTGGGTCGGTGCCCTGCTACTGATTTCAGACGGTGGACTTGAGTAAACAAAGGTCCAAGTTCACTAAACGGTCTGACTTGCTCCCAAGACTTGTCAAGGACGTTTGTAATGAAATGACTGTATTTGAAAGTGTTTTTGCACAACCATGATTTCTAAGTTACTGGGGTTTTTTGTTTGTTAATCTTCTGTTACTATGCAAAGCCTGATTTTCTTTCGAATCTCATCCTGTTCATTTTCTGTCCATTAAGTATCATCTTTTATATCACATGGCAACAATGCATAGGAGAAGCAATCTTGCCAAGGGTAGGAGCTTGGGGTCTGTAGCTGTCTACATTCAAATCCCAACCTAGCTGTGTAACCATATGCAAGTCACTTAACCTCTCTGTGCATTGGTTTTATCATCTCTGAAACAGGGATAATAAAAAGCATCTACCTCATGAGGTAACTGATGTAATTCTATTAGTTAATACAGTAGAGTTCTAACTGGCTGAAACAAAACGAAGGAGACAAAAAGCTATTATTACTATTACTATTACTATTACTATTACTATACTGATTATAAACTGGTTGAGTTCAATTCATAATACAAAAATATCAAGAACAGGGGTTGACGTTGGGGTGCAGCAGATTAACCTGCCTCTTGCATTGCCAGCATCCTGCATCTGAGTGTTACTTTGAATCCCAGCTACTCCCCTCCTGTTCCAGCTTCCTGCTAATGGGCTTAGGAGGACAACAGACAATGGCCCAAGTACTGGAGTCTCTGCCACCTGATGGGAAACCAGAATGGAGTTGCAGGCTCTTGGCTTTGGCTGCCCGGCCTTGGCTCTTGCAGTCATTTGGAGAGTGAACTAGCAGATGTCTCTCTGACTCTCCTGTCTCTTACCACTCTTTCAAATAAATCAATAAATAAATCTACAAAACAGATCAGAGACAAAATGCTTATTTTTGTGTGCTATAGAAGAATGAGCATGGGACCAGCACTGTGGTGTAGCGGTTAAAGCCCAGCCCGCAGTGCTGGGATCCCATGTGGTTGCCGGTTCGAGTCCCGGCTGCTCCACTTCCAATCCAGCTCTCTGCTATAGCCCAGGAAAACAGAAGATGGCCCAGCTCCTTGGGTCCCTACACCAGTATGGGAGACCTGAAAGAAACTCCTGGCTTCTAGCTTCAGATTGGCTCAGCTCCAGCCATTGTGGCCATCTGGGAGTGAACCAGCAGTTGGAAGACTTCTCTCTCTCTCTCTCTCTCTCTCTCTCTCTCTCTGCCTCTGCCTCTCTGTAACTCTGCCTTTCAAATAAATAAATAAATCTTTAAAAGAAGAAGAAGAAGCATGATGAAATACATGCGCATCATCAAAATTAGGAAAACAGTAAATGTTTTCTGTCAGTATGTGCACTTAATAACATCTTTCTACAAAATCTGTTCAAATAATTATGAGATACTCACAAGTTTCAAACAGCATTTTTTAAACTTTTATTTAGTAAATATAAATTTCCAAAGTACAGTTTATGGATTACAATGACTTCTTCCCCCCCATAACTTCCCTTCCACCCGCAACCCTCCCATCTCCCGCTCCCTCTCCCATTCCATTCACATCAAGATTCATTTTCAATTATCTTTATATACAGATCGATTTAGAATATATTAAGTAAAGATTTCAACAGTTTTCACCCACACAGAACATAAAGTGTAAAATACTGTTTCAGTACTAGTTATAGCATTAATTCACATTGAATAACACATTAAGGACAGAGATCCTACATGAGGAGTAAGTACACAGTGACTCCTGTTGTTGACTTAACAATTTGACACTCTTGTTTATGGCGTCAGTAATCACCCTAGGCTCTAGTCATGAGCTGCCAAGGCTATGGAAGCCTTTTTGGGTTCTCTGACTCTGATCATATTTAGACAAGGTCATAGTCAAAGTGGAAGTTCTCTCCTCCCTTCAGAGAAAGGTACCTCCTTCTTTGATGGCCCGTTCTTTCTACTGGGATCTCACTTGCAGAGATCTTTCATTTAGGTCAATTTCTAACCTCCCCAAGAGTTTGCTCTGTAAAACAAATATGGATTAAAACCACATTAGATCAAGGTATTTACAGAAAGCCCAATATCTTCATTGAAACACTGCACTGAGTTAATTTTATTTAAGAGAATCTGAAACCTAAAGAGCTAGATGAATGTGGGAGCTTAGTTTACTGCTAAATTCTCTGAGATCACTGTAAGCATTTTAGCTTACCTTTATAACAAAAACATAGGATGATGAAATCAAATTACTTATTCTGCCTCCTTCCTTTTGCAGAGGAGGAGACATTCAAAGAGGTGAGAGGTCTTGGCTAGAGATCCCCAGCTAATGAGGGGGATGAAACAAGATTAGAATTAGACCTTCTGACTTGCTCCCCAGGGCTCAGATGCACCACACTGATGATTTCCTGTTTACTGCAGGTTTGTGAACCTTTAAGACACAGGAAACCGGAAAGTATATATAAGGGGGGAAAAGCAAGTGTTTGCTATCTCCAACACCAAAGGAGAGAGGCAGGAATATGGCAGTTGTTGTCACACAGCTTTGTCATGGTCCCTCACATTATGAGATGTGACCACATGGCTGGCCTCAGGTTAGATGAGGTCACAGGTCAAGCGAGTGCAGTCAGCAGGAGAATTTACGGGGGCACTGAAGTATATTTTCAGTTGCATGTTCTAGCAATCCTTTAAGCACTTTTAGATAGATTGGAGATCACTTTTGAGCTTTTCTTAAATTCTTAAAATCTCCCTCCTTCAAGCTTTGAGGGTATTTCTTATAAGAAAGGCTTAGGAAAGGCCTTTAAGACTACACAGAAGGATATTTCAATATTCTAGATTGTGTGGACTAACGAGTGAAAAAGAAAAAAAAATCGCATGCCTTCATTGCAGACACTTGAATATCAATTCCTAAAATCCAACTGCTCATTCATTTCTGCATGCGACAGTTTCATGACATTCACCTTCCACGGGTAAGCAGATACTGGCAGTGGCTTAAATGTCCATCCCTCACAGGCACAGTTTAGGAATTACATGGCAGTTGCTCAAGAGAGCAACTGGTCTTGCAAAGTTATTTATAGCAATATCTTCCAGAGAGGGCACTTCTAGGAATTATGCCTGTATCCTTGAGGAAGGAAACCCTGGTTCAGTCCGTTACATTAACTGAATATCTTACCCTTGACTTTTGCGACTCAGGAGAGTCTGCACATGTTCTTAGACAGAAATACAGGACATGAAGCAGGGAGTGACTTTCTAGCATGCTCCCAAACCAGTTTGGCAGAACTGAGTTCTGAAATCACATGTGTCAAGTCAAGTCCCAATATGATTATAATGTGAATCACTGTCCAATTGGGTATATCTCAGATTGGCTTCAGTGCACCACCAGGTGACTCACAATGTTAGCTTCTATTCAAATAAGTACAGTGTCAGTCAGCAGCTAATAGGGATCACTCTGAGTCAGAGCTTAGCATTTAGTACAATAAATCTGAGTCATTGACCACCCGGCACCATCTGAGATGGTCCCTGAATGTTACCTTGAGCAGCTCGTTCAAGGGTTTAAATAGCAATGTAGCAAGTGAGTCAGTTCATAGTACAATTGGCTCCTATAGGGGCCATTCATAATAAAGTTTGATGTAACTGAGTGCTCAAAGTAATATTGCCTGATTAAGAATTCATAGAATAGGTTACCTGGATTCTAATCCATCTGATTAGATTCTAGCTAATTGCATGGGGATTTACTTGTAAAAAATGAGTAATATGATCG